TGTCCCCGACCGCTTTCCGTCTCGCCGGCAAGAACGACGCGGGAGGACAAGTCAGGATCCTTCTGCAGCAGTTTATTTCATAAGCCTCTTACATAGCATACTAAGGATGAAGACCGAAGACGCCGAGAAGTGGGAGAGCTGTTGCTTATATATGCCCTAAAGGTCCCATTTATGACGTATAAGAAGTGGATTGGTTGCTGGAGATCACGCCACGGGAGGAGGCGAGGGAGAGCAGGCTCTTGTGCACGCCCCTTATGGGTGCAGCAGGATGTTTACAATTAAGAAGGTCCGGATACCGGCGCCATCTTGTAATGGCGGCGGAGGCTGTGGCTCTCCACACATTCTATTAGTCAGGCCTTCCAAGTTTTCATTTCCAGTTTCATTCCAATGTGGGTTTTCTTCAGTATTTCTATCTCTTTACTGGATTCTATTTTCATATCCTGAATTAACTTCCTTATTTCATTCAGCTTTTTGCTTGTATTTTTGTGAGCTTCAATCAGTTTATTCCTGTCCTCTTTCAGTTCATTCAGGTATTTATTAATGTCCTCTTGAGTGTCTTTAAACCCTTTGAACATGTTTATAATTTTGATTTGTTTTGTTTGTCTTTTTGAGACAGGGTCTCCCTGTATCCCCAGCTGGCCTGGAACTCACTATGTAGACCAGGCTGGCCTTGATTTCACAGAGATCTGCCTGCCTTTGCCTCCCAAGTGCTGAGATTAAAGGGGTGCACCACCATGCTATGCTCTTTTTTTTAAATTTCATATATTCCATTTCTTCTAAGTCATTTTTCTTTGGAACTATTACTATGAGATTGATGCTTTAGCATGTTGTTTTGGTTTTCCGTGCGTGCGTGTGTGTGTGTGTGTGTGTGTGTGTGTGTGTGTATGTGTTATAAGACTTGGGAATCTGGAGTTAGGTTGTTGGTTGTGACTTTTGCTGTGTTCTCAGCTCACCAGGCTGGTACCTAGAAGTAAGCAATGGGATGGACCACTTGGGGGAATCTGGAGGGAGAGAAACAAATAAGGAAAAGGGGGCTATCTTACAGATCCACACCAGGCTGGGCTAATTGTGGCCAACAAGCTGGAGCAGGCTCTCAGGGCCAGAGGGGTTATAGGCAGTGGGGATGAAGGGAGTGCCTTGCCTGGTCCCTGCCAGGCCAGTATGGCAAAGATATGTTTTAACATTGCCAGTCTGATATAAAAAGGGCCACTCACAGATTTCCAATGAAAAATTATTAAAAGAAATCTGTGTGGATTCCAGCATATAAGAACCTTTATTCTCTGAAGAGAAGTGTTTCTCCCTTCTGTTTTTGAGATAGGATCCAACTATGTTGTCCAGGCTGTCCCTGAATTCCTGGGCTCAAATGATCCTCTTCCCTCAGCCTCCCAAGTACCTGGGACTACGAGTATGCAATCTCGTGCCTCACCTATACTTCTCCCTCTCTATTGATCTAAAAAATTAATGTTTAAATTAAGAACAGGGGGAGAGAGAGAGAGAGATAGAGAGAGAGAGAGAGAGAGAGAGAGAGAACTATAGCACATGTGGAGGTCAGATGACAACTTGCAGAAATTGATTCTCTACTTCTACTTTGTTGGTCCCAGGGATCAAACTCAGGTTATCATGCTTGGCAGCAAGCACCTTTACCCATTCAGCCACCTCACTGGCCCTACTTCTCCCTTCTTGATACAAGATCCAACCTGTGTTTCTAAAGACACTATGGCCTTGGTACCCAGAAAGATGTCAGCAGGTCTTGTTTGAAAAGTCATTTGATAAATAATTTCTCTTGCCTTCCTTAGTGCAACGAAAAGCCAAAGAAGAAGAAGAAGAGCGTGCTACAGAAAGAGAATGTATAAATGAAGGTCTGAAAGGACTTAACTGTGATGAGGAGAATTTTGCAAGGTATGATTTTGTTCTCTTTATTATCATTTGTTATGCAAAAACAGATTTTTAACATAGAGAATCATGTACTACCAATTCATACATTACTGACATTATTTTATATTAATATTGCACTTGACCTACTAGAAGCTCAAAGCAGTTAATAAAATTTCATGTAAAAACAGGCACCAGCTGTGTTAGTAAAATTAAATTCTACCATCATCATGAGTATTCTGATTTTACACATTGGTTGTTAAACTGTATGAGGGGGCTTAGTGGTTAGAGTCACTTGCTGCTCTTACAGAGGACCTGGGTTTTGTTCCCAGCACCCACGTGGCAGCTAACAGCCATCTATAACTCCAGTTCCTGGGATCCATCACCCTTTTCTGGCCACAGTGGGCATTCCATGTGTGGGTGCACTTACAACCATGCAGGCAACATACATGTACATAAAATAAAATTTCTAGTTAAAAATAAACTGAACATCTTAAATAATAAAATAAATTTGAAACAATTTTTAAGTCCTTTAATTTTTAAAATTTATTTATTTTGTGTGTATGAGTCTATTGCCTTCATGTAAGTACACCCGTGTTGTGAAGGTGTACTTCACAGAGGTCAGAAGAAGGCGTTGGCTCCCCTAGAACCGGAGTTATGGACAGTTGTTAGCTGCCATGTGGGTGCTTGAAATTGAACCTGGGTCCTCTGCAAGAGCAGTCATTGCTCTTAACGGCTGAGCCAGCTCTCCAGCCCCTGAAACATTTTTTAAAAGTAGTGTTAGTTTTCTGTTACTGTAATAAATACCTGAGATAAACAACTGACTAAACAAAATGCTTGTTTTTTCCTCTCTCCCTTCCTCCCCATGCCTCCCTCCCCTTGTTTCTTTGTTGGTGCTTTATTACCTCATAGCTCTGGAGGAAGTCAAGACTGGTATGGCTAGGCTTCTTCCTCTAAAGGCCTGTCTCCTTGGCTTGTACTCACTGTGCCATCACATGGTTATCTCTCTATTGAGAAGAAGCTTGATTTTGTTTTAAAAAGTTATTTTCCCTCACAGTTTTAGAAGTCTGTTAGCCCTATTGCTTGTTACTCACCCTGATGACTTGAGTTTGATCCCCTGGTGATTGACATGGTGAAGGGGAAAACTGACTCCTGAAAGTTGTCCTCTGACCTCCATGTGTGAGCATGCATGTGTGCACACACACACAATTAAATGTTTTGTTTTGTTAAGTAAAAGAGAAATGCCTCTAAAGCACAAATAGTAGCAGCAAGTCAAGAGGGTAGGCTGAATCCTGGTTTTAGTGACCTCATGTTATGCCCAGATCTCACAACCCACAATGACCACCAAGGAGTCTGGAGTGTATGCAACAGCAAAGAGCCTTTATTCTGGCTTAAGTTTGGGCCCTCAGATTTCACCAATGCAGTGAATCCATACTGAGAGCCCCAAACCAGGGTGGGGAAAGCTTTTTATAGGGAGTTTTTCTGAAGACTGCGCGTACCAGATGCACTTTAAAATGATTAGATGGTCCTATGTTCTGAGTACGGGGAGGATTCTTATTGGCAGGGGCTGTCTTTAGGGCATTGGAATGTGCTAACTGTTATCTGTAGGGCCAGAAGTTTCTGTTTCTACCTTATAAGGCTTTAACATGCCCGGGCTTGCTTAATCTATGGCTTTCCAGGGAGGAGGTTCTAGGGTCTCTTGGCGGGGTCTGCGAACATAGACACAATTGCCAGGCCAGTGGTTGTGCAGGGTAGGAGAAGGAGCAGTCTCATAAATGGCTTTCAGACAGGGCCACACATCCTTGTGGGCGTGTGCCACAGCCTCAAGAGAATCAAGCAATTGATGGTTATCAAACTCAGCAAGCAATTCAGCTTTTAAATTGGGGAGGATGGGAGGGGGTCTTCCAAACATGATTTCAAATGGAGTTAAACCTAAGAGATAGGGTGAGTTTCACACCCTATATAGAGCAAAGGGAAGGAGAGCCACCCAGTCCTGGCCAGTCTCCATGGTTAATTTAGTAAGGGTCTCTTTTAGGGTTCTATTCATCCTCTCTACCTGTCCAGAACTCTGGGGCCGGTAGGCACAATGTAATTTCCATTTCACCCCCAATACTTTCACTAACTCTTGTGTTACCTGCTAGGTGAATGCTGGTGCATTGTCTGAGCTCAGAAGAGCCAGCATACCGTACCTTGGAAGAATGTCTTCCAGTAGCCACTTGGTGACCATTTGTGCAGTCTCATGCTTGGTAGGGTATGCCTCAGTCCATCCTGAAAAAGTATCTACCAGAACCAAAAGATATTTGCAACCATATTTGTCAGGTTTTATCTCTGTGAAGTCCATTTCCCAGTGGGCTCTGGGCTTGGAGCCTCTTAACCAGGTCCCCTGTTCTTTGGGAAGATTCTCTGCATTTGTCAGCCTGCAGCTAAGACATTTGAAGGCAATTGAACCTACATGTGATCGGAGGTTCAGAACCTTGAGGTGAGCATTTCTTAGGAGATCTTCTGTCTTTCGAGCACCCAGGTGAGTGGTCCGATGAATGTGATTGAGCTAAGTTACTTGGTAGGCTAATCCTGCAGTCCCCCGTATGCCATCAAGTGTCAATCTTTTGGGTCATTGGAAGTTTTCATCCTGAGAGTAATCAGGTTGGTCTGGTAGCATGGGTGGCCCTGGGTCCAGCAGATGGACAGCCAGGACTGGGGAGGCTTTTAGGGCCGTCTCCTTGGCAACCTGGTCTGCCTTCTGGTTTCCTCAGGCTATAGGAGTATCTGTCTTCTGGTGCCTGGGGCAATGGATGATAGCCAGTTTCTTGGGTAGCCATAGGGCAGCCAGTAAGTCTAGGAGTTCTTATTTATTTTTAATAGTCTTTCCCTCAGCTGTGAGCAGCCCCCTCTCCTGGTAGATGGCCCCATGTACATGGGCTGTGGCAAAGGCATACTGGCTATCCATATAAACGTTCAATTTTATGTCCTTGCCTAATTTAAGAGCCTCGGTCAAGGCTATCAGCTCAGCCCTCTAGGCTGAAGTCCCCGCAGGTAGAGCCACCACCCAGACCATTTCAGTCTCTGTTACTACTGCTGCCCCAACATACCTCTGTCCATTCTTCACGAAACTGCTGCCAGCAGTGAACCAAGTGGCTTCTGCATCAGGGAGTAGCTGATCAGTCAGGTCTTTTCTGAGCCCATGTATTTGGCTCAAGATCCCCACGCAATTGGGCAAGGGCATGTCCAGGTCCAGATTGGGCAGCAGGGTGGCCAGATTGAGGGCTGTTCTCGGGAGAAAACAAATCCTCGGGGGATTAAGAAGCAAGCTTTGATAGTGAGTCATTCTGGCATTGCTCAACCAGCAGTCAGGTGACTGTTTGAGAACTCCCTCGATGGCATGAGGGGTTGTGATACATAATTCTTGTCCTAAGGTTAACTTGTCCACATCTTTGACTAGAAGAGCCATGGATGCTATAATTCACAAACATGGCAGCCACCCAGTGGCAACTGGTCCAGTTTTTATGACAGATATGCCACTGGCCTATTCCAGGGCCCCAGAGTCTGAGTTAGGACTCCTTTTGCCACCCCCTTCTTTACATCTATGAACAGATGAAAAGGTTTAGTAATATCCAGAAGTCCTAGGGCTGGCATGGCTAGGAGGGTCTGTTTGATCTTACTGAAGGCCTCTTCCTGGACCTCCATCCAAGCAAAGGGCTCACTTTCCCATGTGACTTCATAGAGGGGCCTCACCAATTCAGCGAATCCTGGGATCCACAAGCGGCAGAATCCTGCTGACCCCAGGAGCTCCCTCACTGCCCTCCGGGAATGAGGGGTGGGTATTTTTAGCACTGTTTCTTTCCTGGCACCTGTAAGCCACCTTTGTCCTTCTTTTAATATGTATCCCAAATAGGTGACCTCTCTCTGGCATATTGGGGCTTTCTTGGCAGATGTCCGATATCCCAGTCTACCTAGGGTTGCCAGGAGATCTCTAGTTCCCTGCTGATACTGCGAGGCATCAGCAGCAGCTATCAAGATGTCATCCACATATTGTAATAGGGTGAACTGGGAGTGTTCCAGCCAGTACTCACCCAGGTCTTCATGGAGAGCCTCATCAAACAGGGTGGGTGAATTTTTGAATCCCTGCAGCAGATGGGTCCAAGTCAGCTGCCCGTTGAAGCCAATCTCCTGGTCTTGCCATTTGAAAGCAAAGAAGGGCTGACTCTCTTTGGCCAGAGGTAGACTAAAGAAGGCATCTTTCAAGTCTAACACCATGTACCAGTTTCTGGAAGGTGGCAAGGAACTCAGGAGAGTGTAAGGATTAGGTACCATTGGATGAACATCCATAACTCGCTTGTTTACCTCTCTCAAGTCCTGGGCCAGCAATAGTAGAGGCCGGTTTTTGATGTAACGTAAACTCATCTAGTTATAGGGTATTTGGATCGGGTGGCCTTCTTGATCAGTCATTTAGGCCCCACTAGGGGTGAAATGAATGTGAGCACTCATTTCTCCAAGCTCAAGGATTTGTACCCCTCCTCAGGCCATGCCTCACCCAGCAGGTTTTTCTGTGCAATCTTTTATCCAGTGGCCCATCTTTTTGCAATAGGTGCATCAGTTCTTCTGTAACCTCGGTCACCCTTCCTGGGGTTCCCTACTTGGATCCGCAGAGAGGTAGCACAGTTGACATTCCCACTCATCAGGAAACCTTGTGGTCATAGCCAGAAGGATCTTAGTGAAGTCTCGGGTCTACATGGCGCTAGTAGCGGCTGTGGCTTGAGCTTGTTTGTCTTCCAGACTTTCTCTGTGGTTATAGACCCTCTCTGCCACTGCCAACAGCTCCAGCAGAGTCTTATCTGCCAATCTATCTAGTTTCTGTAATTTGCGCCTAATGTTGGGTGCTGACTGGTTGACAAAGGCCAATACGACTGCATTCTTGTTTTCTGGTGCCTCTGGATTCATGGATGTATAAGTGTGGAATGCCTCAGGGATCCTTTCTAAAAAGGCTGCCGGAGATCCTGTTTTTTTATGCTGCACATCACTAATCTTAG